TTCTCATTGTCCTTTTGATTTTGATTCTACTATCCACTGAATCTGATTAAGTTACTCATATTAACAAGAAGCCAATTGCCCCCAGTAACTCTCAAGGATGGTGCCTATTTATGCGCATCTTCAAGTTCCACGTTTATGGACATACACTGAAGCAGTATGTTATGATGGAAGATTACAGGGTCTAGAGCCAAGTGGGCTTGGTTTCAAATCCCCACCCTGGAACTTCCTAGTATTATTATGCCTGCAATATTGTATTTGGTGAGAGTAAAAGGATAAATGGACTCTGTAGATTTCAATGAACTGGTCTACCTTATTGATAGTTGTATCAAACATCTCTCACGCTCCATTTCACCTCTTGCTTCACCTGTTCCTTGGATCTTTGGCCACGTGTTTCCCCCAGGTCACCACCATGGCTCTTTCCAACTCCCACTGTGTTGATAGACTCAGTGTGCTATTGCTGCAGAGGCACGGGACACCATACAACCAAGAAGAGCCAGGACGTTAAGTCTTCATGTGGTGAACTTTTGGTAAACGGGAGACAGGGGCTGGCAGATCTGTTCTCCCTTCCTCCTCTTGGAGGGACTGTCCTGAGAGGCAGTTCTTCATTCAGTGGAGAGGCACTCACAATGAAACCAAGCAGTGGACAGCTCAGCAACAACCCTCCTGATTGCTCTTCCTCCTTCTCTGACTCACTCCGTTTTCTTTCCTGCTCCCCTGAAATTGCATCCCCAAGAAAGTAGCAGCACATACCCTTTTTACCTTTTTTTAAAAAATTGTGCATTAGGTGAAAGTTTACAGAGCAAATTAGATTCCCATTCGATAGTTTGTACATAAAGTGTTTCATGGCCTTGGTTTCATTTCCCGCAATGTATTAGCACTCTCCCCATTTCTACCCTGGGCTCCCCGTTTCCTTTCATCCTGATTTGCTACCCTTCTTGCCTTCTCATCTTTGCTTTTGGGCAAATACTGCTCTTTTGATCTGTTATAATTGATTGTTTTAAGGAGCACGTTCCTCTCTGGTATTACTGTCTATTTTATGGGTTAGTGTATTGTTTGGCTGGAAGGTGGTCTCTGGGAACAGCTTCAGTTCCAGGTCAGAAGGGTATCTTAGGGCCGTAGTCTCGGGGGTTCCTCTATTCTCTGTCATACCGGTAAGTCTGGTCTTTTTTGTTCTGCATGTTTCTCCTGCTCTGTCCGGGACCCTCTGTTGTAATCCCAGTTAGAGCAGTCGGTAGTGGTAGCCAAGCACCAGCTAGTTCTGGTCTTGGAGTCGTGCAGGCTGTGGTTCATGTGGTCTATTAGTCCTCTGGACTAATTGCTCCCTTGAATCTTCAGTTTTTTTTTCACTCTCCTTTGCTCTGAACTGGAAGAGACCAACTATTGTGTCTTAGATGGCCGCTTGCAAGCTTTTAAGACCCCAGATGCTACTCACCAAAGTAGGATGTAGAACATTGTCTTTAAGAACTATGTTGTGCCAATTGATGTAGAAGTCCCCCGAGTCTATGGTCCTTTGCCTTCAAGCCTGGGAACTTCATCCCTGGAGATGTTTAGTTATGTCTAAGAGGTTTCCCTGACGGCGCCTGTTCTGTGCTCTATTGTCTATATTAATATATGAGGAGCACCTATAGTCACGTATGTAGAAATATCCACCACCAAACCTGTATCTGCCGGTAGGTGTGTGCTCCTTTACACCTTCCCACACCTCTTGGTATCTCTATCTATCTATGTATCCATTCATAAATTATTGCTTGTAATACTATTGTTGCAGGATTGTCTATGCTATAGTAGTTATGGTAGTTGCCTTTTATCCTGTGTTCCGCTCAGTGTTCTCTCTTGCCTTGGTCATGATGTGCTGACATCTCCTATATTGTGTATTGCCTTCCTCTTCACCAATATTAACACCTGTCTACTATCTATTTGGTAATTTTTCCTTCCTCCTCCTCCCATCCCTGGTAACCATCAAAGATTTTTTTCTTCTGTGTGTAAACCTTTTGTTGTTACTTTATAATAGTGATCTCATACAGTATTTGTCATTTTTTGATTGACTTATTTCACTTAGAATAATGTCCTCCAAATTCATCCATGTTATGAGATGTTTCACGGATTTGTCATTATTTTTAATCATTGCATAGTATTCCATTGTGTGTATGTACCACAGTTTGTTAATCCATTCATCTTTTGATGGACACCTAGGTTGTTTCTACCTTT